TAACGTTAAATTAAATTATTAAATTTTATTAAATTTTTAGCTCCCTTTTAATTTTAAGCTGACACGTACGCTTACCATATTTGTAGATTATGGTATATTGGCTGATATACCATAATGGCTAAGCCAATAAAAAGTCTTGAATTGCATTATCCAATGATCTAGTTTTTAATAAATATATTTATTATATGGCTGTGTCTCACAAGGACTGGGAACTACCGAATTCACGAATTTGATTGGCTGAAATCAATATTGAAAGCGGTCTAGATTTTCCCATCTAGACCAGCATCTAGACTGGTCTAGAAAAAAAAGGTACACATAATATAAAAAATTGGCATATAAGGCACAACCATATAATAAACATCTTATTAACTGAGCTAGGTCGGTCTGTATGGGAGAATCGTATCTTGACCTCGGTCGCTGGTACAGATCTCGCTGCGTTCGGTCTGTACTGGCGACCTCAGTCAAGATTCTCCCATACAGACCTCCCACTCAGTTAATGAGAACCAAATAAGCTGTACAACCCCTCTGCTTGTGAAGTTTAGCCCCCATAATATTTCTATACAGTCAGTTAATGTATCTCTTTACCTGTCCTCAGATCCCTCTGGTGAGACAAATATTTCTGACTCTTGTTTTATGATACTTTTTTCCACTGCTGTTGGCTGGTGTGCCAAATCATACTCAATTTCCTTCTGCTTAGAAGTGCAAAACTTACAAGGAGTTTCTCCATTCACTATAAATAAATGAATAGATAGGTAAGTTATGAATAACAAAAAATTAACAAATTCTCCAAAAATAAGCCCTAAAATGGTACTGTACACAGAAGTTTGGAGGATTTTGTTAACAATCTCTTAAGTAATTTTGTGAGTCTATTTTATCTTTAGTTAAAGTTTGCTTTAAGTTTTCAATGTATTAGTGCATGACAAGGTAAAGAAAACAAGAGAAGGAGGGTACAAGTGTATTACTACTAACACTTTCAGCCTTTGTTACAGAACAACTCTGATATGAAAAGAGAAGAGAAAAGAGAGAAAAGAATAGAAAATGAACTGCAGCAATATTCCTGTCGGTATAAAATGTTTCCATTAAATTGTCAGTTGAAGGGGATTTTTATACCAACTGAACACGGCAAGTTGTGTTTTCAGTGAAATCAAGACTTTTTTGACAATACAAAAAGTAGTTCAATTGACCCAACGTTTTGAAATTTTCTTTTCTTTCCCTCGTCAGTTTTCTCTTCTCTATTCTCTTTTCTTGCCTTCATTTCATTTCCCATTTCTTTGATACTTTTATAACTAAACAACAACTACCTGCTCTTAGAAATGAATTAGGATTGCCAGTCCTCTTGGCATAATCAAGTGGTACATCACCACTGCCATCCTGCGCATTCATGTCTGCCCTGTGTTTAATCAGGCAGCTAACACTTTGTAAGTGAGCTCCTAATGCAGCTAAATGGGCTGGTGTTGCACCACAACCTAGAGGAAACAAGCCAACAAGGTGGGTATTACTTCCCTAATTCGTAAATTATTGCACTGCATGAATTGTCTCATATGTCAAGATGAATTAACTCAATCAGCAGATGTGTTTCCTCCCAATACATTTATATTATACAATCATGTAATCTACCTAAACGTGGCTGTTTGTAGAGTTTAGGTCTTTTTTGTAATAATTATGAAAGCAGTGAATTTTTGCCAGGATTGTTTACATGTAGTTTAGTCATCTCTCTTAAGTATATGTAAGACAATCTGTTTTTTACAAACACATGATAGTAAAGAAGTGCTTAAGTGTGGGGCAGTAATAAACCTCTGGTGAAAGAAAAAAACATTACCATCTCTGATGTTGGGATTTGTTCTGTTTTCCAGGAGCCAGTGGACACATTCTGTAGAACCATTTTGAGCAGCCTAAAATTGATCATTAAACTGTTAATGCAGTCTAAAATAAAAAAAAAAACAACAACAACACACAAACTGACATAAAAAAACTGAACTCAAACACACAAGTTAAACATTCAGATCTCTACAATAGTACTGTAACCTACCACATGAAGCAAAGATTTTCCAGATCTGTCCCTAACATCTATTTTTGCCAACCCTGAACCCAACAGAAACACCAAACAGTGGCAGTCATTATGTGCTGCAGCATAATGTGCTGGCACACATCCTGCTGTATCTCTAGAATTGACATCAATGTCACTGTGTGCAAGAGTTTTCAAAGCTTCCAAGCCCCCAGCACTTGCTGCATAGTGAGCAGGTGTGCGTCCTTGATCATCAACACAGGTAACCTCAACATCATTTTCTATGAGACACCTGATGTGAAATGAAAAACATTACACCTTCAAGGTTTTCATTAAAAGATAAAATAACAAGAAATCAGTTAAATTAAGTAATAAGAGAATATTTTCTTGATCATGTGAATTATAAAAATTTATGTACTTTAGGCCACCAAATTTAGCCAGAAAATTGTGCATTACAGCTTGAGAATTCTCTGATCTTTCATGCCTGCACGACGAATACAGTGCATCTTTTAATCCTTTCACTCCAGATCTCAGAACATGTCCTTTATGGGAAAGAATTTTATTTGCAGCCCTGTAATAACACAAATATCATTTAGTACCTTAAGGCAAAGCCATGATTTTTCATTGCTGCCAAGTGAGCTGGAGTACGTCCCTGTTTATCCTCTAATACCATGTTACTACCAGTCATTATCAAGATTTCAAGACATTCACTTTCACCATGATATGCAGCAAGATGAGCACTAGTTTGTCCATTAGAGTCAGCAACATTGATATCTGTGATATGTTTCAGAAGTTCTTTCATCACATGAGTGTGACCACCAATACACGCTTCATGGAGGGGGGTCCTTTGCACACTGCTGCCTTTGATAGGATCTGCACCTGCCTAAAACACATGATTAGTTCCATAAAAGTCTTTTTCAAGTGGTTGTTTCCCCCCAAATTTTTTTATCCCATTTAATCGCGAATTTAAAGGTAATATTTGAGTGCTATAAATCTGCGAGCCAGCGAGCCAAGGGGCGAGCCATGTGAGTCATGTGAGCCACAGTCAAAATGTTAAGAATCTTATTTGTTACATTTACTTTAAATTTATTTGTTACATTTACTTTTATTTGTTACACATACTCTTCGAAGAACAAATTCATAGAAAAACACGGCATCAAGGCAATTGTTTCAAACTGATGAAATCCTAAGCAATCTTTTTGCATCTCCATGCAGATCCTGAATGAAATCAACCAAAAATGTCCATAAAAAATCAATCACTTACATTGAACTGACGATTTTTCAAGTACTGAAAGATGACAGCAGTCAATGTTGACAGACTAAATGCGATTTGAGAAGAAGCGGCGTGGTAGAAGCATTTACTGTCAGCTGGTGGGTTGAACGCTATTTCTAAACCAGCTTCTGCTACTCTAGTGCGAGTTTTGAAGAAAGACTTGTCTGAGGGAAGAGACAACCACATACCGCAGTCAGTCAACCGATAGAGTTTTGATAACTCTGATTCACTAAAGAGCGAAACTGTTAAAATTATGCAATTTACTCACCATTCTTGACGCTGATACACGGAGTTGCCCTGGAAGTACTGTTCCCTTTTCTCTTGAATAATTTTCCACATGGATATCAATGAATGACAGGAGTCCATTCAACTACCCATTTGAGTAGCGGTAGGGCGATGGAGCTGTACGTTTTTCTCAGAAAATTTTTTCACTTAAGTCTTGAACCTTAATTAATTTTTGTCACATTGTTTTTATTTTTTGTGGATCCTGAGCGATTTGAATAGATAAAATTTTCTCTAATAACAAAAATATGACAGCCATTAGTATGATGCAAGACTTGTTATGATATGTATGATACACAATCCTCGCAGTGGAGAGCGCTATTTATGCAATAGCGAAATCAGACCTGAAAAAAAATCAGGCCTGTACGGGATTTGAACCACTGACCTCTGCAATACTAGTCCAGCGCTCTACCAATTGAGCTAACAAGCCAACTGGGAGCAGGCCTTTAAGTTGATTCATAATAAACCTGTGATGATAAATCGCAGAGGTCAATGGTTCGAATCCCGTACAGGCCTGATTTTTTTCAGGTCTGATTTCGCTATTGCATAAATAGCGCTCTCTACTGCGAGGATCGTGTATCATACGTACCTACAACTGCAGTTCAAAATATATGAACTTCATATATTCATTGTAACTTAGTATGATGTAAAGAAGGTTTGAGCATTTTTCATATTTGACGCACCAGCAATAGTTCTGACAACCGAAGCGAGATTAGGATTTTTTCTGGGAATATTTCAATTTTAAGCACTTTTGCAGCTAAATTTAAAATTAATTTCCGAAGGAAAGAGAGAGTACCCTGGGAGCGAGGTTGTACCGTGTATGCTAGTCCCCAGGATCATCTCTGCTTTCAAGATGGCGGGTGGGTGGTTTAAAGCGATAGTTTAGTGATAGTCAGGCGCAAAATGATCAATGACCTCCCAGTCCCTAGACCAATCGAAGAAAAAAGAAAATACTTGCAAACATGGCTCGCATGGCTCACATGACTCGCACCGCGGCTCGCATTGCAGCTTGCACCGCGGCTTGCATGGCTCGCACCGCGGCTCACATGGCTTGCACCGCGGCTTGCATGGCTCGCTGGCTCGCATGGCTCGCTGGCTCGCATGGCTCGCTGGCTCGCAGATTTTGCAGACCCTAATATTCTGTTTCTTTTGCCTATACATGTCACAGGGGTAGGGACCTTACATTAACAGATGGGCCCTAAATAGAATTATAAAACTGCTTCTCCCTCATAAAAGATTTAGCCTATACTTTTGCAATCTGTTTTAAAGGGGTTTGTAGGTTCACATCAATGGCATCGCTGTGAGGAATTTAGCTACAACCTGTACATGTGCATTTTTGGAAAAAAGATTTAATTCAAAGAATGTTCAACATCCCAACCGAATCTAGACGCTAGGTCAGTCAACCCAGTAACGAATCACTCGTCATTTGACTAAACGTACCCATAGTTCGCTCTATTAATCAATATGACTTACCCTAAGAAGCTGTCTAACAACCGTCAGATGCCCATACCCCGCGGCGCGATGCAAAGCGGTCCTCTGAGCTCGATGGCCTCCAGCTTTCTCGTTCACATCGATATCTTTATCCAAAAGTAGTCGGGCTACAGAATCTGAATCACCTCTTTCCGCCGCCTCTTGCAACGGAGGCAAGGAGAAACTGACAAAATCCGATGGCAACGGTGGATTAAGGTCTTCGCTCTTTGCACTAATGTCCTCTTCGCCAAGTTCGAAGTCTTTCGCTCGACTTGCCGTCAAAGATGTGTACAGACTAAGATCAAAAGTGCGTGCACTATCTGCTTCTCTGACTGACATTGCTCAAAGTCGATTTTTTTTTTTCAAACACAGTTACTTCCAATGAAAACAGACGCCATTTTGTTTCCTAGGACCCAATCTTTTTGGCAAACTCGGTCATATTCTCAGCTGACAAAGCATCCTGGGCTCTAGTCTCGCTAGACACTTCACTTGACAGATGGTCTTCAGGAGCTATGTAAATTAAACATCGAATTGTCCAAAATGTCATTGGTTGAATTGCTTGCCAAATATGTTTACACTGCCGTAATTAGGCTCCAGCGCTCTTTAGCCTATTTACCGGACTTAGCGTCTTATTATCGTCCACCATGACTACCGGCCAAGCTTCAACTTAGCGACTTAGCCAACTCGAAAACAAAGCGTCAATCTTCGGTGATTTCCAGCTATGAGATTGAGGTGGATGATATTTTGTCTTCTCTTTGCCAATTATGTTGACTGTGTGATGGAATTTCCCCCTCTTCCTCAAGGAAAGCCTTACAATATAAAAGGCGAAGAGGATTCTTGGAGTTTAAATGGTCTTACAAGTATTGCAAATGGTATAGCTTTGACGCTAAGAAATCAAGCGCCTTACGGTAAGGATTGATTACATTTGTACTGGTTCTACGCGTGACTAGTTTGACCCTTTCTACCGGGAAAACAACCCGCTGTTTACACAAGACACTTTTAATTGGACCTTACTTTAACTCGCGATGCCATTCACAGAATCACAGTTACAGTGTCACTTTTTGAAAAGTGACTATGCGCGTGTGCTACCTCTCGACTCCAATGCGAAATGCGCTCTAAAAAAGCGAAAAAACCACTATAATTTTTTGAACACGTTTCCAAGAGTCCAATGGGGGCTTCTCGGCATGCGGTAAAGTAAATATATTCTTATGGTTGAGACATCATTAGAGCCAGCTTCATTGCACATTATGCTATTGTGTACAATAGCTATCGCTGCGAGGAATTAACTCAGCCACACGCAGTACTCTTTGGTTATGTTGTATTTTGAAATAAGGGTTTTGTGGTAGTTCTTTTGTTCCAGGGTTATGGAACAAAAGAACAAAGAACAAAGGAAACATCAAAACAAAACAAAATTTCAGCTTGGAAATGTACTTTGTATTTCGTTGACTGAGTGGGAGGGACAGATAGGAAAATATTTGGCTCAAGATTATGATGCATACGGACCAAGTGCAGTGAGGTCCATGCCTCATGACAGGGAGCCAAATATTTCCCTGTCTGACCTGACCAAACTCAGTTAATAAGCATTTTATCATATGACCACTAAGTGTTGAAAATTTCAATCTAAAAAGGGCATGATAGGAGGGCACACACAGCCATATACCAGGGTTGTCAGTAGGGTTCTGAGTAGCAGGTTCTGTCCATAAAGTAAGCGGCTACAGCAAGGCATGCACACTATTCAAGGAGGGTGTGGAGGGACGTCGGCCCTCTTTCATCGGGGGTTCAGTCGCTTCTGGGGAGACCTCCCCCAGGAAATTTTTGCCAAAAATGATACTCTGAAATGCAATCTGGGCCTATTTTCAGCAAGGTACCAACTTCCATCTCTTAAAAGCAGAATTAATTAGACTTGCCTAAAAGCCATGTTCCCAATTTGTCAATCTCAACTACAGTGCAGTTCGCCAAATTTGACTTCTCTCACGAAATTCACAGTTACTAAAATGTCTTTTGAATAATTTAAAACCCGGTGAAAATAAAAGGTCAAGAGCCCACAAAAATGAAATGAACATCTTACTAATTTAAATTAACAGAGGCTCCATCGTGTCTTGTGGATAAATTTGGCGATCTTCGTGTTTGTATTAATACGCATTTGGCTGCAAGTTTTAGTTTTGCAAATAAAGCTCAACTTATTTTAAAATTATCCTTCTTCATTTCAATATTAGTATTAGCCTTGGTATTTCTTTTTGATTGTTTAAGCGAAGAGCCAGCACAAAAAACGTAAATGTAAATAGTGAGTAAAGTTAATCAGGCTTTACATAATTTTCACACTGTCGTAATAAACAAAAGTGTTACTAAAGCAACACGAAAGAAAGGATAATTCGAATGAAAGAAAAAAAGTATCACAAAAGTACAGAAACAATACGTGACCAACCGCCTCCCAGTTAGCTCAATGGATAGAGCGCTGGACTGTTGTGCAGGAGGTCAAGGGTTCGAGCCC